ATAGACCACAAAAAACCGTGGTCTGCAGTTTTTTTGTGGTCCAGTTCGGTCTTTTGACTTCTATGAAAAAGGCAGACCAGTTATAGTTATGGTTAAAGCCCTGGGGCATCAAAAAGCCAGACCAGACCAGACTTTTAAACACTAATCACACTCAAAGTGAGCAGAAGTGAGTGTAAAGCCTTTATCTGATCTGATGAATAAAACCGGGAAGGGAGCTCATTGTATTCTTTGCCAACTGGTAGGTCTCCAGCAATGAGTGATAGATAGTGGGCAAATTCAAGAAAGGTGTCTGATTCACACTTGTTGAAGCCTGTGCAAGAAACAATGCTATGCTGGAAGGGTATGTGAGTTACAGTTCAAGTTTGAGGCTGGGTTTGAAAAGTGATGGAGAGGTGCTGAGTGACATGAAGAGAAGACTGTCTTAGAGCTCAGTCCCAATGCTTGAGGTAAATGATGATGATTCTGCAGGGCAGTTAGTAGAAATCACCAAGGTCTTATCAGTGCCCCTCTAATTCCTGCAGACATCCGGTCATTCTGGCGGATTCCAGTAGATTCTGGAGGAATGAAATTTGGCAGGGAGGCCTGCTATTTTCATTATTCTGGTGCCTTACCATTCTGGCAGAATTTGGGCATTCCAGAATTGACACTGGAATGTTCCGCAGGATTGGAATGGAATGGAATATAGAATTGAATGGAATGGAATCCATTTATTTGTTTGTTTATTTTACTTCTGTTACCAAACAAATGCAACACCCTTTCCTTTCCACTCACCACCAACCATCCTCTTCCCCACCACCTCCATTTCCTCCCACCAACCATGTTGACAACAGCAACAACAACAACAACAACACCACACCACCCATCAAGGGCCATGACAATGCAAACACACTAGGTGGACAACAAGGCAACATGGCAACAAGGCAAGGAGGCAACGTGGCAATGGAACAATGATGAACAACAATGACATCATCATTGTCGTTCGTCATCCGCATCTCATGACCCACGTAACAACCACCCACTGCCCACAAAAACACCACAAACACCCACAAAAACACCACAAACACCCACAAAAACACCACAGTGCCCACAAAAACCATAGGCCACCCACAGAATGACACCCAGCACCCATGAAACACTTGGCACACTCTTGTATCTTTTTTTTTTGCTTTTACTGCAAATTCTGGTCCCATTCCTGTGGATTCTGGTCCCATTCCTGCAGATTCCTGTGGATTCTGGCAGATTCCTGCAGGAATGGGTAGGGCACTGTAAAGTACTGGAAATCACCCACCAACACTGAGAGCCCCAACAATACAAACAGGCCATAGTTGATGGTGCCTGCTGATGGGCTGATGAGGGATGATAACCCTGTGTTGATGAATTGGCCAATGTGATCCCACTATCAAGGTAAAGAAGGGTCAGCCAGCTATGTAGATTTAGCATAGATGGATCAGTAGGAAGCTGCCATGGGAAGCCAAGTCCCTGTATTTGTATATAGGCTGATAGTTTTGAACATTGTATTTGTATATTGGCTGATGGAAGATAGCTAAGCTATGCAAGGTCGGCTGACAGTTTTGAACATTGCTGGGTTGGTGATCAGCCAAGGGCCTTCACTTCTGATTAGCAGCTAGGCTATGCAAGGTCGGCAGACATTTTGAATGTGCCTGGGTTGTGGTCAGCTGAGGGCCCTCAACTCTGGTTACCAGGGTCAGCTGGTGGGACCCACATTATTGTATTCATGGCTCAGCTCATCAGTCCAGCAAATGGATACCACTACCAAGTTGGCCGCGGAAACTGACAATTTATAAACATGGGATCAGCCAATGTTTGAGCTAGCCCAGCCTTTTCAATATGGACTAGTATATGTTTTCTGCTTGGCTTTTATTTTATGCAGCCGAGCATGGTTGTTTGAGCCAGACCTGGGCTTTCATGCCTGGTTGAAATGTCCAACATGTGGTATGTTTACAGGAAAAGTGACTTGCCAGGATTGGAACCCATGGCTTCAAGATGTCCATACATCTGTCTTGCAGCCTTGTCAATGTTGCAAAACGACATTGGTTGGTATATTTTACCCTGCCCCATTTTGTCAACTTGGGAGCATCATTTCTTCCCCAGTTCAAATCTTTAACATAGTAGTATGTTTACAAAGAATGGGTAAAGTTAAATGAGTGTTAAATGAGTATGAATGCCAGGTGGAAAATAACTGAGCAGACAAGTGATTAAATTGGTACAAATGCCCAGGCTGCATCTCGGATAATAGAGCCGATTTGATATTAAATTGTTGAAGTACTTTGGCTGGTGCTGAAGCTGGGTGGAGAATAACTGAGAAGACAAGGGAATTAAATCGGTTAAAATGCCTGGGCTGGGTCTCGCATAATAGAGCCAATTTAATATTAAATTGTCAAAGTACTTTAGCTGGTGCCGAGGCCAGGTGGAAAATAACTGAGCAGACAAGTGAATTAAATTGGTAAAAATTCCCAGGCTGCATCTCAGATAATAGAGCCGATTCAATATTAAATTGTTGAAGTACTTTAGCTGGTGCTGAGGCCAGGTGGAAAATAACTGAGCAGACAAGTCAATTAAATTGGTAAAAATGCCCACACTGCATCTCAGATAATAGAGCTGATTTAATATTAAATTGTTGAAGTGTCTAGCTGGTGCCGAGGCTGGGTGAAAAAGAACTGAGCAGACAAGTGAATTAAATTGGTTAAAGTGCCTGGGCTGCACATCAGGTGAAGCTGGTTGCTTCACCTCATTGCCATGTCTTGCACCATTGTCTCATGGCCACTGATGGATTGTGTGGTGTCATCATGGTTGTTGTCATCATCACTGTTGTTCTAGCCCATGGTGGGCAGTCAGGAATGGGGGAGGCAGGGAAAGACAATGGTGGGGGATGGAAAGGAATGAGCATTGGCTTTGTTTGGTAACATGAGTGAAATAAACAAACAATATACAACCAAACAAGCCCAGATGCATTCCATTCTGTTCCTCTAAATTCTGCAGAACATTCCAGTATGAAATCTGGAATGCCCCAATTCTGCTGGAATGACAAGGCACCGGAATTTAAAAAATACAGGCCTTCCTGCAAAATTTTATTCCACCAGATTCCCCCAGAATGACTGGATTCCAGCAGGAATTAGGGGGGCACTGATAAGACCTCCTAGTAGACTCTGTAGTGTTTCCTTCATTGTCTCCTTCATAAGAGCCATGTTAACATCCTCTTGATAGTTGATGCTGGAGCTGGCCTTGTTGGCTGTGGACTTCAACATTAAGCCAATGCCTTTTAAAAGCTCAAAGTGATTTAGGATGAGAAGAAACAAAATCAGAGTTAGAAACTACCTTGATGACAGCAAGGTGGATGATATGAGGGATACATCACATCTGAGAATCTGAAGCTGAAAACTCAACCCCTGCTTCATGGCACTTGATTTCTAATGCTTCCATCAACATATCATTATTGCTTGCATTATCCATCATAATAGCCATAATCTAATGACTGGTCAGTAATCGAAATCAAGAAATATTGGTATAATATTGACAAAGTTTGTTTTGGATGCCATATTCCTGCAATGTTGACCAGACTACTGCTGCCATGTTCTCGCCTGAATGCTCACCCAGTAGCTCTTGGAAATCAATAAGTAGCTCTTCTGAAGAAAGAATGAGCTGAATATATATAGATACCAATTGAAAGCTTACCACATTCCCCCTCATTTGTGATATAATGAGCAACAATTGCCAAAAACACATAGCAGTTGCTTGATGTCCAGGCATCAAGAGAGAGACTTATTTTCCCTTCCAAGGCCTACATCAAAGTTCAAAGGAATGGATAAGAAAGGACAAATTTGAATTGATGAGGAGCTTACCAAAAACATAGCTTTGGTTTCCTCAACTACCTCCTCACCTAGTTTCATTGCCTGCCTGCAAGCACCATCTTTTTTTGGGAATGTAAACTTTGAGTATGGTCTCCCATAGCTCATAGCAGTGATGAACTCTGTGTTTTCTACCTTGGTGAACAGTTGATCGCATGCCACCATCCACTTGATCAAAATCCATTTGAATTTATCTTGGTCCCAAGGCTCCTAAGCAATGAAAAACAGTCAATAATGATCTAACAGAACATTTTAAAAAAATGGTGTACTGCAGATTTAGCCATCTGCTTTTCAAATGCTTCTTTAATCCCAGCAGTGTTAGCTTTCATGATCTTGAGGTAGTCAGCTTGAAGTGAGTTGTCCAATAGTTTCCTCCCTGATGCCATAAGAATCTTGTCATCAGTTGGAATGTCTTGCTGTTTCATGACAAGGTACAGATTATGCATCAATTTGAAGTGAGTGCAAATATGTCCAATAAGGCCTGACAAGGGAAGTCAGGATAGAAATGATTTGACATATGAAAGGGTTGGAAGTACCTCTTTGTTTGAGATCCTCTTGTCACTCTCATTGCCCTTGTCTGATGAGCTACTATCCTCACTGGATGATCCTAAAAATTCAACATCATCTTCTGACTCAGCAATAGTTCCTTTCACATGAGACAAGGCTGGATTTGAAGGCCGAAACATGTACCACTGTATTCATTAGTATTTGTAAAATATTGGAAGGAATATAAACACCAATTACATTTGTCACAAAAGTCCAAGTGTGGTCAAGAATTTGCACTGTTTCTTTATTGTCCTGCTTTACTTTTCATTTTTCTTCAATGATATTCTTTGTTACCATGGCAACACCACTCAGCTGATGAATATTGTAATGAATAGAATAATGGATAAAGAAGGACAATAAAAAAGCCATGTGTTTCCTTGACCATATTTGGACTTTTGTGACAAATGTAGTCAATGTTTATATTTATTACAGTATTTTACAAATACTACAGTCATTTCAGAAAACCTTGTCTGCGTGCTTTTGAGTCATCTCAAAATGTTTGAAAATAAAATAAAATAGAAAAAAAACTATAATCATCTACACATCTAAAACCAATGCTAGAACCACACTCTTTTGTTTTTGTCTACCATGGATGCTACCAACAAAGAGCCTGACCTGGAATATCCTCTGTCAGACACTCCAATGGGCTCGGATGATGAAGTAGTTGGATCCGACATGGCAACCCAAACTTGCAGCAATGAAGCAGAAGAACCCTATGAATGGACAGAGGAAAGCCTGGCCATGTTCGAAAATTATGGTGTGGTGCCTCCCTTGGCAATGTGGCAGGAATGCGAGGAAGAAAGCAAGGTTGATGAGGATTTAAGAGGTGTGTATTTGAGTAGCAAGTTCTCGCAACCCTGTTGACACCAGTCTTAGAGGCAGCCACTGCAGCTGCGAAGAAACTCACCATCCATCTTCCTAGCCAAAATCAGCATAGAGGCACCAATGCGAAGCTAGCTCCCAAAGTGCGCCATCCAGGAGACAACAAAGCCAAAAAACCTGCAGAAGAGGCCGATGGTGTGACAGAGATTTTGGACACACCTAAGGCCAGTAAGAAGAAGAGAAAGAAGATTAAAAAAGCTCACCAATCTGATACTGCAAGCGAAGACTCGGATACAGAGCCCAAGAAAAAGAAAAAAAAGGTTAAAGCTCACCGGTCAAGCATTGGAAGCGACTCAGATCCAGATGCCGGTGAACTCCCCAAGGCAAAGAAGACCTCTCATCAATGTGAGGTGGTCAGTCATGCTGAGGCTGACACCGAAGTCTCAGTTGCTCAGTCCAAGAAGCGTGGACGACCATGCAAGGTTGTCGATGACACACCAGTCGCACCGAAAGTCTGGAGCATGTCCATGTTTGTTGAGATTGCTTTGCCTCCAAAGCTACAAACTGGGAAGACGCCGCATGGTGACAAGTTTGTGAATATACCGGCCATGATGGGAGGGCCATTTGTCTTCATGCGAAAAATGACATGGGAGAAATTCCTGGAGGAGGTTGCTGAAATCGTGGACGTCAACATTGAGAATCTTGGGTTAGATGGCATGACATGGGGGTTCCAAGAGAAGAAGGCAAAATTACCACTCACCAATGACCATGGGTTCCAGACTATGCAGAACCAGATCAAGAATCACCGTGACTTGTCCTCCATCATCATCATTGTCTACCACCCTATTCCTTGTGTTAGGCAACCTTGAGCAACATTGCGAGAAAGTCGCAGTGCACCTCAGCCGGTGGCAGATGGTGGGAGAGTCCAGGAAGTTCCTACTCAGTGGGAAGCCAAGGTCAGCAATTCCATCAGTGAATGGCAGTTCTGTTCACACGCCTTCCCTGCACCTAGATCGGCCTTGATGTTCAGCCCGCACCCATCATCGAGAAGCTTGAGGAGATGTATCCTGTCTTGGCGTGCGCTGAACACCGTGGAATCAGATGCTTGATGCACTCACCATGCTCTGGCGAGTATTGGCACTTCGAGCTAGATCACAAAAAGCTATCACTTTGGGCAAATGCTATCGTGAGTTTTCTCAATGTCCTTTCTTCTGGTAGGGAGAAGGCTGATGTGTTCTGATAGCTAAGGTGTGAGACTGGTTATGATAGAGTCCCATTAGGTCGTGCAGGCTTTACTCCGAAAGAGAAAATGCCAGCAGGAAGCAAGCAGCACCACAAACTCCAGGACGAACACAAGAGGTCCATGCACAACCAAATGGCTTTTTCCTGGGCTACAGGCCTCCGACAATGGCTCCAATGCCCCACCCCTCTCTTCACTACTATCCATACCCACCACCCACTTCAGCTACAGCGCCCCTCCTTTATGGGGGTATCCAAACCCTAATCACCCACCATCGATGCCAATGCCTCAAGCTACCCCTTCCCTCCCATTTCCAATGCCTCAAGCTACTGCTTCTCTCCCACTTCCAGCATCAAACACAAATGGGGTCCAGCAGTGGTGTGTTCAGAACTGACTTGGCCAAGAAGAGTTTTAAGGCCTAGTCAAACTCAGGTTCCATGTTGGCGATGACTTGACTGGCCTTGATAGGGAGATGTGGACTTGGGCAGGCCTTGGCCCCTTGCACAAATCAAGGATTCAGGCAGCCTGTAATTCAGGCCAGGCTGGACCATCCAATACCACCCATTCATTCCCGAGATCTCTTTGATTGACTGCTCCAACCCGGTTTTAATATATTTAACTTCAGCACTACCCTTCTTCCCTCCCTTCGTTTAGTCAGTACCACCCCTTGACCATCTATTCTCTGCTGCAACATTCCCTATACCCCACATACTAATGTGCATGGAACCATATAATGATTTGGATTTGATTTCATACTAACCTCTTACTGCAGATCTTTTTAGACTGTGACATACCCTTAGTTACTCTAGCTCCTTAGTTACTTTTGTCTACATTTGCATATGTATGTACATACATACATATATATATATATCTTGTTACATATATCCACAATCCCGAAACCATCCCTCAGCTTTCTTGTGTGTGACAGCTGCAAAGCATGCATCAACGAGATCTTGTTCAGGGTAGAGGCTGTCTTGAAACTGTCAAAAGTTATGACGAAGGTAAGCTTTAACTATAAAGAAAAATAAGCAATGTTGACAATCCAATTGCCCAATCATTTCTACTCACCACAACTGAAGCTTTCTTCAATAGGGGAAAAGTCAGGTGAGTATGGGGGTAAGAAGAGCAGATGGATGCCTGTTGCGACAGTTTCAGAATACTTGTCATAGGGAAATGAGAGTGTATGTCTCACCTGTGCCCTCAAATAACTCCTGGAGGGCTTCGCTCTTGTGAGTTGCACAGTTGTCCAGAACCAAGACACTACGGGGGCCTGGCCATGGGTTCATGCAGGGAAGCTAGTGTAGTACATCATAGTCAGTCCAAGGGTAAGAGTAAAATTCAAAGGACCCACCACATCATTGGCAATAAGTCATAGAACTCTCCTCCATCAATTGAACCCTCTACAGCACGCGCTGCAATGTAGCCTTTTACAGTAAGCGCTGGTAAGGCGCTATAACAGATACCTTGGTGAGTGAGACACTGTAGATGGGCTTGTGTCCACTTGCCGCACGGCCATACTTTCAAATAAGAGTCTTCCTGTCCTTGCTCGTTTTGTCGACAATGACCATCTGCTCTGCAGTGTACCTGCTGAGGACATCGTGCAGCCAGGCAGTACGTAATGCATGATCACACTCAGCAGCTTGCCGATGCATGATCTTCCGAGTGAGTCCAAGATCATGCAAATTATCATGAAGAGCTGTGGTGGACATAGGGATGTCATGGTAAAGGGCAAGCCACTCCCCGATTTCATCAAGATAAAGCTCTGGGGATTCGTCGATTAGCTCTTTAAGACCACGAGTAGCCTCAGCATCAAGCAGACGACATCGACCTTGATGATAGGATGGAGGGATGACCGTACCATGTCAATCATAGTTGTCAGCCCATCGATCAATACTTTTTAATGACACACCGAGGACATCTGCAATTTCTGGAAGTTCCCAGCCTTCTGTGAGAAAATGGAGGGCGCGCTCCTTCATATCGGCACTGATTTTCCGAAAAACCATGGCTACAGAGCCAGGAATGGTTGAGTTTTCGCTTTCTCACTTTTTCTTATTTTATTTTATTTTCAAACATTTTCAGTCAACTCAAAAGCACATATGTTTAGGCCTTCAAATCCGGCCTTGTCTCACGTGTTTGGCCTTCACTTTTCCTTTCATTTTGTGTTGCCTTTTCTTTTTGTCCATATCAGAAGTTTGGGCCTCAGCTTCTATAATTTCGGCAATGCGAGCAGAGTTGCACATTCATCTGGGAAACATACAAGGGTTACTTCCAGAGGCTATAGGGCCTGTGTTGTCCTTATCATTATACCAGGTGATTTTGCTTGCATCCTTCAAAGTCCCATTGGCATTGAGGGCATCTCCACCTAAGCTTCACATAAGTAATGAGGAACCGATGGAAATAGTTCCAGACAACATACCAGATCCACCAGCAAATGTACAGTGAGAGCAGTTGATGCTCTGATGGGACAGGTAGTTACCCATCAAAGCCGCCCATATAACTGTCAGTTTACCGCGACAGTGTGCAGCCCTAACCATGAGTCGCAGAGCTGCTTCTTTGAGATCACCACTGATCTTTTGATAGACCATAGGTGATGGCAAAAGGAGTTTTTGATGATAAGGCTCTCACACAAGACAAGGCTAGATTTGAAGGCCTAAACATGTACCATCATATTCATTAGTATTTGTAAAATATTGGAATAAATATAAACATTGACTACATTTGTCACAAAAGTCCAAATGTGGTCAAGGAAATGCAAGGCTTTTTTATTGTTCTTCTTTATCCATTATTCTATTTGTTACAATATTCATCAGCTGAGTGGTGTTGCCATGGTAACAAAGAATATCTATTGAAGAAAAATGTAAAATAAAGCAGGACAATAAAGAAACAGTGCAAGTTCTTGACCACACTTGGACTTTTGTGACAAATGTAATTGGTGTTTATAGTCCTTCCAATATTTTACAAATAATGAATACAGTGGTACATGTTTCAGCCTTCAAATCCAGCCTTGTCTCACATGTCTGTGAAGGTGTGCTGAAAGAGGATGTGTGACATTTCTGTCACACATCACAGCTCACATAGTTCAGCTTTTCAAACTTTTTTTATTTCTAACAACATCATTATTGAAGATCACAATAACTGCTCACAACATATGCAGGTTTAATCCTAGGAATTTTCTCAATCTACAAGTGGTAGCAGGCTATGCGCCTGTTCGAAGGCGCCCCACATGGTTATGAAAATAGCTCATCTTGAGGACAAATAGCTATAAACAGACTGATAACAAAATGCGACGGAAATCTTTGTCAATTAAACCTTTGACCTAACGCCCAAAAGATACGTTGAGATGGCCCTCCAACCTTCCCTACGCCAATTGATAGTCGCAGGGAGTCACGATGCTCCTCATACCCTGGACATATTCCGTAAGTTCCATCCCAAAACTTTGACATTGGCAAGTCCCTGAACTTGAACATCCATATAGTCGACTATGTTTGCCCATTCAGGTAAATAACGGTAATGAACCACAGTACCGGATTAAACGCGTTACAGCGCGAAGATGGCGTTGACGATCGATAATGTCTTGAAGCCATTCTTCAGCAAGGGCGGGAAGTACGACGGCAAAGTCAAGGCGGTGTTTAGGCTCCAAGTCCAGCCTTGGCATGCGACTTCGACTCTAACGCACGAAGCAGGACTTGGGGTGCGTAATAAGGAACCTATTGATGTTCATTTTGTGGACATTAAGTTGGCAGGTCCTTCGTGCCTCTCCAGAGAACTTTTGGCCTTTCTCTCTCCTGGTACAAGGCCCTAATCTCTGCCCATTTGACGTCTCATTCCATTCTACATAGCTCTTCAAAAACCAAACAGATTACTTCGATATCCCCGCATCCACTCTGACCCCGATCCAAATCCGCGAAAAGCTCGCGTTACTCGCTGCAGAGATTATCCCAGCGGATGCCGTAGAGCAAGTTAAGGACCTTCTGACGTTGAAAGGGTCCCCGAATGGAGGCGTTGCGGTTACTGACGACCTCAAGTACAACAGTGCGTCTCGATTTCCGTCATCTGAGTCTCTTCTTGACTGACTCTTGCGCATATAGTCAAATTCTCGAGACAGAACAGCATTCATGTATCACCAACGGTTCTCTGGGATGGGTTGGTCGCTCAAGAGATTTCCAGCAGCTGGGGCGAGAAGGAGTGGACCGCATTCCTTGAGAGCAAAGTGTTGGTTTGATAGGTATGGGCGAGGTGTTCAAATAACTCAATCGATGTTACACGTGTTCAGCCCATAAAATTGAAATTGCAGACATTCTCACATGTCCCACGATGACATGACGGTGAATTAGACATCAGAAGGAAGTGAAGTTTTTGCTTGTGTTCGAAGAACTGCACCAGCCGTGGAGGAATTGAACTTCATTCCAACCCATCCTCAATCCCACCCCTCCTCCTCCTTCGAATCTTCCCAGCTTCTCTAGATCTTTTCTTCCAGCCCCTCGTCAGCTCGCCCCTCTCCTCCTCCCATCTTTTTCTAATTTCTTCATCTGTATTCGTCCGATAAAAAGCAACAGCAGGATCACGCCAATAACACCCCTGCTCCTTACTAAACTCCAACGGATCCCTTGGGCGGGCCTTCGTGATGGAGGAGGAGGAGGAGGAAGGAAATGGGAAAAACAACACCTGCTTTGGGTCTAAGAACGTTGCTGGACGTTTTGTATGCGAGGAGGATAATGTGGGTTGGTAGTGTTCTGTCGGTTGCGTAGTGGATTCGGTAGGGAGCATTGGTTGTTCTAAGATGAAGGGAACTTCTTCGTCTAGCTCCAGGTCGAGGTCTAGGTGGCCTAGGAGGGAAAAGCCGGCTAGAAAGAGGGTAGGATGAGTTAAATCTGGCCCGAAAAAGCTAGTCTTTTTTTTACATACCCTCTTCATCTCTAGGAGCGAATAGATCCTTTAGTTTAGTCCGCTGGGTCGGTTTCTTCGGCTGGGGTACGATGTTTTGTGTAGCTTTGGGCTGCGCAACTTTCTCTACTTCCTCGTCGTTTCGTATCGATATTGATTCCATGGACTTTGAAATTGGCACGACCTCAAAGTCATTGAGCCCCTCTTCATCGGCATCCACCAACATCTTGTCCCCTTTTACCAATTCATCTTCGTCAATGTCAGACCCGACACTTTCCCTGCCTACCCAGTCCTCGTCCTCGTCTTTCCCGCCGAACAAGGATGCGAGGAGATTGAGGGATTGGGACGTTTCGAGGGCGACATTGGTATTATTTTCAGGAACAGAGCTTGCAGCTTCCACAGGTCGAGGAGCTTCGGAGGTCGATGTAACCATAGCAGGAAAGGGTTCGACGGGAATTGAAGTTGGTGGTGAACGGGCCGTGGATTGTGCGCTTGAGATAGACACGGATGGATGCGCTTTCTCCTCCTCCTCCTCCTCCTCCTCCTCCTCCTCCTCCTCCTCCTCCTCCTCCTCTCCACTTTCACTACTCTCATCCCCCGAATCCACGACGACCTCGGACACATCAACAACCATTTTCTTCCCTCCCTGCTGGACCTCTAAATCCAAGAACATCCCCTTCAAATGCTCGCTCCCCCACTTCGTCATATCAATCGCCTTCCTCCTAGCCCTCGTATCCGGATCCTTGACCCTTTTCTTTTTCTTCTTCAACACAGCATCGTCCGCGTGCCTTTTCAATTTCTTCACACCTTTCACTTCGTCTTGAGTAGGAGGTAACGGATGCGTAGGCCTCATTTTAACGGGACGCATGGTTCGCCCGAGAGGCGTGACTTTCCACCCGGGACGCGTAGCCGCGTTTTCGGGAGTAACGAGGGACATGTCGTCGGCGTGTACCCCGCCGTGCCGCTTGCGTCGTTTTTTGGGCGGTTCGTTGGAAGCTGATTCATGCTCTGCCGCAATTCTACAGACTTCTTTTTTAAGGAGTGTTCCTGTTGAGAAAATCTTTCCCCTCATACCTTTCCGCGAAATCTGGTTTGGCTTCTCCGAACCGTAATTTTGCGCCTTTCCATGTAGATCCACTAAGCAAATTCATACCTTTGTAAAAACTATTAATTCCTTTTGCCCTAGGGTTTTATGGAAAACCACGGCTACGTACATTTCGCCAATTTTCCCGCAGTCGTTTCAATTGTGATGTAACCGAACTTTCTCGGTGCACCCAAGCCATCCAAAAGGCCTATACCGTCCACGCATTTTACAGAGCCAAAGGTTGAAAGCCGTCTTGAGATATCATCTGCTGTTATAGCGGGGGTTAAGCCAGAGATGTGTAGCCTTTTCGTGATCAAGGTAGAGTCCATGAAAGAGAGCATACAGCCGTCACAAAGAATGACGTCGTTGCAATGGGAAATGAAAGGATGAAGACCCGTCAACAACGACAGCACCTTGACAGACTTGACAACACGTTTGAAGGAAGCGGTGGTCCAGAATGCCCCCCGTGTGCCCAGTTAGGTTGACATAAGCAACGTCAATTTTTTTCTAAGGCAAACAGCAACATTTTTACAAGGTTTTTCTTGCTACACTTATTCGTTTTCCGTGACATATTGGGAACAACAACTACTGCATAAATTATATGGTATAAGATATCTACATATATCTACAACACACAAGGGTTGGTGTTTGTGCACACCCCAAACATACCCCAGGGAAACTCGTTGCATCCGCCGCGCGAGCTTGAGCTCATCAGCATGCCGTGCCATGGTCCACATCAACACAAACAAAAATAAGTAGAAAGGGTGGTATCAGATTTAAAACAAGGGGAGGGGAGGGGGGCATACAGAATCACATACACGGTTCTCCCTATCGCCTGCACTCTACCCATTGGCAAATAAAGGCACGGCACGATGCGATGTGTCGATCGCGTTTGGGCATGTTGCCGTGTGTCGGGTCTCCCGTGTCTGGGCATTTTCGCGCGATGTGTCGGTCGCGTATCGTCGTTTGGTTGGTTACATGTCGCGTCGCATTTGGGTGTGTTGCCGTTGCGTCTCTTGTGTCACGTCTCTCGTGTCTATGCGTCGGTCGCGTACAGTCGATGTCAGTCGTTTGGTTGGTTGCATGTCGCGTCGCGTCGCGTTTGGGCACGTTGCCGTCGCGTCTCTTGTGTCGCTCTCTGGTGTCTGGGCATTTTCGCGTCCATACGCGGCAAGCACGTCGTGTGAATGCCGCGTCAACGAGGCCGAGGGGAATATCGACGAGGGAGGCTGGGCGGGAATGGGGGTCAGGACCAAAAAGATTTCAAAAGCTGTTTGGCAACTGTTGCAATGCTTTGGCTTATTTGGACATCATCACGTCAATCACGGTGACGGCTGACGTGACACTGACAGGGAAGTTCCGGAAGGTCTAAGCCGAAGGCTTCTGAGACTACGTCATTCTTTGTGACGGCTGTATTATCCATGAAAGATTACACAGCCACAGGAAGACCATTTCAGACTTCTATCTCTAAGATAAATACATTGACGATGAAGTACAAAAACCATACTGTACTAATGTGCTTTCCTATATATGGTACAGATGGAGTGGAGAGAGAGATAAGTAATACATGGTAGCTGAATTAACCCGAAATTACGCTGCCATCGACGTCACCATGCGTATCCTACGCACACACCACTCACTCAATCACTAACCAAAGCTCTCCCACGTCTTGATCCCACTCGTCGACGCAGCAGGCTGCTGCTCTCTCGGCGGATGGGGCATTACGATCGTCTGTGGCCCACCCGACGAAAAGCCCATAACCATTTTGGGCCCTAGTGACTCAAATTCCAGCCTCGACCCAATCTTGAACGAATCCGTCTTCCACACCCGCTGGTAGATGTACGAGTCGTTGAACGGGAGGTTGTATGTTGTTGATGGATCGTTGGCGGCGAGTGGGACGAGGGAGCGCAGCCAGACGCGGAGTTTGTGCGCGGCGCCTGCTGGGACGGAGTTGGATGGGAGAGAACTGGATGGATGGAAGTGTGACTGTGAGGAGGGAGAGCCGAGATGAATGGATAGGGTACTCACTATATTAAGAACGATACTGTCTTCGGATCCGAATCCAATTTTAGTCTGAACTCATCGATCAACACACCTCCTACGCCTTGTGCCTCATACTCTAGGGAATACTTGTACAAGTTGTTTGACACCCGATCCCACCTAGAATCCAATTAAGGCGATCACCAACTTTTTTGATAAAAAAAAACCTACTCACTTGATGATGAAGGATATCAACGCCCTCCCGACATACGCATGGTATATCTGCTCCTTCGCATCTGCATGCTTCATCCTAGCAAACGATGCATCCCCAATAGAGTTGAAATCCGGATCCCTCCCCACCAGCAGCTCGTCATCGCCAAACAGCCTATGATCCACCCCATTCACCCGCAACCACACACGAAGAGACCAAAGACATCCTGTTGGTATGCTATTTTTCCCTGGGAACACGCTAAAGTGTGGATTTAGCCTGCGAGTAAGAGGGAAGCTTCAACAACGCACAAGACTGCAAAGTCCAGTTGTCGAGGGTCGACCTTTAAGGTCCGCACAGTTGGCTCGCATAGCGGTCGTTCGATACCATTGGCTTTGAAGGATAGATTGAATGTATATTTTCCATGTCGAGGTTTGCCTGATTCAGGCTCGACCCTAGGTAAATTAGAGACCAATTCCCCGGTAATCAATACGCGGACATACGATATCATGAACTGTAAGGGCGTGTTGCCTGCCATGAGCCGATAAGTGTATAGATAGCGTTCATGGCGAGGCAATGGTCGTCGACGGGCGGTACTTTGGGCGCCTTGATCATCAGTCATCAGTATTTCGGTATGTCCTGTACACACTTTTGAGGATAAGGGCTTAGTGGATTGTCGAATGGTGTCGACCAACGGACGCTATTGGGGCTTCCTGTCCGGTCTGAGGTGCTATCGATGGTAGAAAGTGACAAGTTAGCTAGATGATGATTACCGGGTTAGTCCAGGAACACGCACATACTGACTGCTGCTTCGTAATCGGGGCACTCTTCGTCGTCTCGTAGGACTGCTGCCAGGCTTGGCTCAGATATCTCTGAGAGACGGGACATGATGGAAATGGACATGTCAGTAAGAGGAGCGCAGCAAGTCGAAGGGCATGATCAAGACGGTGATATAATAGTAGACTGAAGCAATAATAATCTGAAGTGAGGTGTGTCATGTGAAGGGAGCACAGCAATGCATCCATGTGTTCCGTGTTTCGTTGTCATGTTTCCGCATAGCATGTACGCGCCAAATTATGCAACTCTCAGGTTAGAATTCATTGCACATCTGCTTGCTTGCAGTACAATTACGTCTCTAGAAAAATCTATTAAGATTCCGACGGCTTGCCCTGCAGATGTGTCAATCTAAACGCACATTTACAAACCTCGTAAAACACACCTTAGTCAGGGAGTATGCTCCATAGAGCGTGCCTAACATTCCAACGCCAAATAGAACACCGAAAGTCCCTAGGGAGAAAACGTTGGGTTGCGAAACAGGTTGAGGTCAGTCCAACCCACCGACGTAGAGATTGGACCTGGGCCCACGCAGCATAATGGGCTTGGTGTTGTTCTTCAAAGGCGAATGAATAATAGAACGGATGGCCATGTTTGAGGAGACAACACCCACCTGGTACATTTTTTGTTTCTCCAAAACATGGTTGGGAACTAGGCAAGAGATTAGGATATAAATGATAGAAAATTAACGACTTCGTACGATTGTAGATGGGAGAGAGGAGACTCATGACGGCGAGGAGGAGGGGAGTAGCAGCGAGCAGCAATTTGTGGTGGTTGCGGGAGATTGCGGAGTTTGGCACTCCGAAAGCCGAGATTTTTCTGGACTGAACCAACCAAATGGCAAGCGGCGATCGCGTTCGCGTCAGAGTAAGTCTCGATGCTCCCATCCAGCTCATCATCGTCCTCATTCACGTCTAGGGCCTCAGCATATACCGTCCTATAATATACGGAAACACGGCAACTGTCCTCACTCCAAGGGAACGCGACGCGCTTCCCCATCCAGACCACACCCACAGATGGACAGTCGCCGTTCGAAGCGCCGCGTCTGAGCCTGATTCTGACGAGGTCGGCGGCGCAGACGATCTAAGCTACTTTATCAAACGCGTAACATTCAAATTACACGACACGTATGCCAACCCATCTCGAAGTGCGCATATAGCTAGCTACCTTCCATTTTCGACCTTTTTACCTACTTGCTTCCTCTAGACGTTGATAAGCCGCCTTTTGAAGTTTCGGAAACAGGGTAAGCACCTCTCTTTACCTTCCTTACAACAATCCACTTCTGCGCTAGCCAACAGGTGGGGTGAATTCGAGATTACCATACGCATAACTTTCATCACCGAATCCGGAGAGAAAGCAATGACGCTCTACCACCACCTCAAACTTCACCCATGGACTGCATCAGGGGACCCAGAAATCCCCCCTCTCGACGTAGCCATGAAGCTCGGTCCCGTACACTCATGGCAATACGACGAAATCGTCTTCAACGACCCATATCAGAACTTCCTCAACCTATTGACAGCTCACCCACCAACACCGCTGCCGAAAGCGAAACGCCGTCCAGTGCCGTTCCATCTTGCTAATCCTGGATCCCTGGAGGCTTCGAAAGGCGGCGTGCCGGAGTTCAATACGCTGATGGAGAAGGAGGAAGCAGATCGTCTTGAGGAGGCGCGAAAGACGATCATTGCAGAGCAGGATCGCTGGCGGGGTATTTTAATTGAGAGGGAAAAGGAATTACAAAAGTTGCAGAGACAGTTGCTGTCCATGTCTACCTGAGCCCTGCCTTCTTCGTATCGCTATCGTGGTGTGTCATTGTACGAATATCATAGAAGTTGTGTATAAACAGCATGTAAATATATGTAGCAGATCTATTAGCTACATTCAATGCCATGAAGCCCACCCTGGATACATCTTCGCCTGTAAAGCAGTGTCAATGTTCAACGGCAATTTCCTAATGTGAAAAGTGGTTGCATACCAGATTCGCATAGTCAGTCGCCTCCTGGATAAGCATCTGAACGAGATTGCTCGTCGAGACTTCCTTGTCCTGTCTCTCTTTACTCGTGGTGTACATTCCCTTGAGTTTTTTCTCTATCGGGTTTAAGGCATTCTTAGCCAGCATCCGCAAGTCCACCGACGCTTTGACTTGGTTCCGCCGTGAAGGCTCTCGTTCCTGTCGACGTTTCATAGGGAGTGCAGGGTCTCCAGGGAGTTGGAACTTACCAACTTCCGCTTCTCGTCTTCCCATTCCACCAATGGATCGTGAATGAACGCATCAAGGACGCTCATCAGAGAGTCTTTGTTATCCCGCAGTAGCTGTAGAGTGACTTCGCATGCGATGCGGAAGACACCTGCAATTGACAAAATCAAGTAATTGCTCTGCAGAATGGGAGGCACTTATACCTTCAACGCCTGTAACACCAAGGCCATCCACGATATTCTGCGTCAACCTAAACGGGACTTTCTCTGGCGTTTCCAACGTTTTCCCCTACCTCATCATAAGACATTAGCGACGGATAAACCTGAAAATCACTCGCCTTCTCAAAAAGACAGTTAAAATCAACATGAACGACGTCTCCAGTATTGTTATCGAGTAGTATATTTTCACAATGCCGATCCCCAAGGCCAAGAATCCACCCAACCATCGACATGACCGCCGCGGTTCGTCCATACGACAAGCGACTGGCCAACCAGGCAGTAGGTTCGGGGAAGGTTTCGATGAACCAGTCGTGGAAAACTGGCGGGAACCTGCAACGCGTTGAGTTGCTAACGCAGAAGAAAAGGAGACCATCTACTAACCCAGGCAAGATCTTCGTAGTAAATAATTCAGCGGCTTCTTTGTCGGGTGCATCCTTGATCTTTCTAAAGACGTCGCCCATTTCATTAGACTGAGAACGTAATGTAAACATTGAAAGTCAAGAACGACACCAGGAATACACACCCAACTCTTGATCCGCCTTGCTTCATAACCTCGAATGAGGACAGGCCGAATCGGTATAGTGTTCGGCACCCATTGGATGAAACCACACTCTTCATTCAGGGTCACAACTCCATAGGTCCTTATATCTACAGAAAATAAGTGTGAGCATCTGATCCCTGGCAAAAAGAAAGAAAACGACGGACGCAGTTGCCTCCGCCGAGATTCCGAATTGGCCTTGAGCAACTTATTAATAATGGCATTAAAGTCCATCAATCGTGCATCTTTTCGAAGATCGTCTTTTGGCTTTCCGAGGAACATGTATACTTGCCCATTGCTCCCCCGGATCGTGATCTTCCGTGGTTTTGCCAGAGAGCGCATGACTTCGATCTCATCGGCAAACTCTAACGAAATACTATTGAGCAACACGATTTCAAAGCGTGCGTAATCTAGGACGTACCGTTAAATGTAGGGGCGTTTGGCGGGAAGGGCTGATGCGTTGAAGAAGAAGACGAAGTTGGTGGCAAGCTCGCAGTCAACGACTCTTGTAGAGGAATGATCAAGTCAGAGTGTCCGAGGCCTTTTAATCTCGGAAAGTCTTTGCTCATGCTCAAAACTCGTTTGTCGTCATCAACATGATGATCACAAAGAGCCAAAAGCTCGTTGGTCATCGCCAAACATTGAGATATCAGTTTCGTGATTTCCGTTCTAGCGGTTTGGTTTTGTGGATTGTTCTGTTGAGCAGCTTCAGTTTGGGATAAAATGGAAGCTTAGCGAATATTAACCCGAAGCTGGTCCAGAATCAACTTTCCTCGTTGTTCTCGATTCTGTTTGGTCGATTTCACGACGGAAGTGAAGAGCCACAAAGCTTGTTTCGGATATTCTTGCATGACCGTCACAATCAACCGGGAGAGATGTTTATAGACTTCTGGATTTGAATGCCCAACTCGCGAGACAATCTGAGGGAAAGCAGTAAACCACTTTGCAGATAATCAGAATGAGGATAGAAATAGATGAAAAATATCACCTTGTAAGCGGGGGCTTCCCTTATCGCCGTTGCAACAAGTTCGTTTAGCTTTTTGAAGTGCTCGGAGGGAGCCGTGGTCTTGTCCTCTCCGAGGTCGAGCCAAATTGTAAGGAGACGGGGAACAGTTTGATAGACATACTTGGATCCATATCTGATGGCTTTCGAAAAGGAGCGAATAGTGTACAAGTTCATCTTCACGCCTCTTTTTTGGGATCCAATGTTAGGCCTGGATAAGAGATAATGAGGAAAGGAACACTTGCCGTTTAAGTTGATCAGAGATAGGTAGAGATTTGAAACACTCGTCATAAAATTTGCCATGGTAAAAGTGGGCACTCTCCCATCTAATCACGGCCATGGTCAATTTGCTACCACCCAATGCAATGGCACGGGGTCGATGCTCACTTTGCCTGCAGTGCACTCGCCTCCTTGAATACGCTCAAAATGGTGGCAACGTCGAACCTTTCAGATTCGCTCATCCAACGAGCACGAAGGACTTGAATCTACACACCTATCGGAATTGAGAATGATTAGATTCAACGTACTCTCGTACCTTGGCTTTCATTTTTGTTGTTTCGTCGTCAGCGGTGAGATCGAGGACATCCTTGTCGTCTAATAGCCCAAGCAATCGCATAGAATTCTCTAACTCTTGTAAAGCACGCAAGGGCTCTCCAGTGGCTTTTACGAGTTTTGCACTTTCCATGAAAGAGAAGCGCTCCTTGCTTTGCTGTGCCTGCAACACGGCACTATAAGCAGTTTGCCATTGGCCAGCCTTCCTGGCAATCTTGGCGCTTGCCAGCCAGGAGCGCCCAATTTCTTTTGTTAGGGTGTGACCAGGATCGGGTCTAGACTAAAATTACAGACAGCACATTCACAAGAGAATGAGATACGCACGAAAGGGCAAACGCCGTCCGTCGCATGCTAAGTACAGGCTCGCGACTTCGGAAGGTTGGAAGGGTTGCATCCAACCTTGCCGACAAAATCTGAGAGAGTTCCTGCAATACTTCACGGCGTTTGTGATTCTGGGGCGATGAAGGGAGAATGGATGTGGCACTATGAATTACTTCAAGTTCATGCGTCAAGTGCAAATCGAGGACGGCATCATAGGACCGACGATAGCCTTTGATTCCGGCCGCAGTGATGGGAGCCCCTAAGACTGAGCGTGCGAGGGATAACGCTGCAGAAACGGCCGCGGTATCCCCGGTGCGCATTGCCAGCAAAAGCCTGGCCATTACGATGGGCGAATCTTGAGCGCTCATTCGGTTAATAATGTTCTCAACATCGTCCCAGGCTCCAACCATCCATGCACTTTCCACTTGAAAACCGGCTAAGGTGTTTTCCCACTCAGGAAACCGAGTCAAAACACCCCTTACATGTGTACGTAGGGTGTCTGAAGGTCAGGTAAGTAATCAGCTTTATATACAATACTTAGAACTCACCATAATGACCAAGGTTCCGAAGACACCGCAAGAGACCAAGGTGGAAATCAACGTTGTCAGGCGATTGTTGAAGTCTTACTTCCCAGCAGCTCTGAGCTGCGGTCCATCGTCCTGTACTTTCATGCTGGCGAATTTGGTGCTCGAGAGACGGTGATAATATAAGCGTTGAAACACCTTCCATCCCATCTGGTTCATCGAGATGGGCATATATCTCGTGAAGTTTCTCATAATAGCCAGGAAGGTCTTTGTTATGAGCCGTATGCTCCCTCAATGTAACTACCTGCTGCTCAAAATTCATGAGGGAACGCGCATAAGCCTTACATTGGAATGCGGCTTTCGCCATGAGGTTTTGGTCGATGCTGGACAGGATGGAGTCCAACCGAAGGAGTTGTTCCTCAACCTGATTGCTGATTTGATACGCTCGCGCTCGTTTGTTGTCGATTTTCTTGCTGCTGATCTCTTGTCTTACAACGCGTACCCACTTGTTCAGGTGGTCAAGCAAGATGAATACCGCCTGTAGAATTGTCAAAAATGTTCGGGGTGGATGACCCGTTCATACCTGGGCACTGAGCAGCCTCTTGTCGGACGTCGAGTTGCTCTCAGAGTCAACTTGATCTTCCAATACAACCATAATTTCAGCACGGATCCCCTGGGCGTCATCCTCGTTCCCAGATATCAAGATGTTGAGAACCAGGTGAGGGAGCAGATGATGGGCAACGACCACATCTTTGTTGCGAACTGCTGATCGAAATACGCCAAAGATAATTTGAGCGGTTGGCCCCGATGCTCTTGAGATGAGATGATTTACCCAAAGTTGGATCCACTCTCTATACGTCGACTGAATAGGATAGATTGGCAGCTGAACGGCGTGAGATGAGCCTTGTGGCAGAGTGAACCGCCCCTCGAGCAACGGGGTGACAGTCTCTAGAACATGTTTCGGCAACGAGCTCCACCTATTTCGTACTTTAAGGGGGACAGCAGCTGTATGAGTAGTTGTAGCGGCGACCAGGGCGGGAGTAAATTGGCAAAATTTCAACAGCTCTTGGATGCTGTACGCCAAATGACTTTGATACTTGATGTCGCTAGTAGAGCGGAATGCTCCAACCAACAGATCTTGAATAAGATGAAGTGCGAAGATTACTGATTCTCCCTCGTCTGTGAAGTTCTTCAGGACAACCATGCTTTTGTCTTTGAAGCCGATTTCGCAACGATCGGGATCCACAGCCCCTAGTATTCCAATGCATTCGAAGGCAAGCAAGCGTAATGCTTCTGTTCCATCACCGTCCCGGCAGGCAGCAGTGAAGAGTGCGGCAGATATTTGACCGACCATAGCATCAAACATATCGCCAGATGCGAGACCGTGAATGAAAGCTTTATGCGAAGACCCCATGAAAGCCTTTAATTCAGCCAGAGACTGTGTAGCGACGGTCAAGTTGTCGCTTGAAGAGCGGTCGAGGATACGTTGAAGTTCTTCTTTTGGTGACCATACTCCTCGGATCTGCTTCAGTTCCTCATATAAAGGAATGAGTTCAGGAATAACCGACAGGTCTACAACGTCATCTAGATATCGTCCAAGCGCCTTGCCCATGATACTGATGATGTATTCCAGAGAACGGAGAGCGGAATGGCGTGCAGAGCCGGAGAAAAGCGGCCAAGAAACAACAAGAGCAGCACTGGTAGGCCCAACGTGAGGCCCTATCTCTTCAGGTCCCAACGTCTTCAAAAATGTATGCCAGCTCTGAAGGGTGACCTCAGACAGCTCAGGTACGGAAACCATTGTTTGAAAAGTAGCCATGATCTAAGGATGCTCATGTGAGAATGTTATTGAAGTTTGTCCGAACCAACAAACCTGGGGAGAAACGTTGCTGATTGCTGGCCCAATCTGAGTAATCAAAGCACCCAAGCTGCACAAAATCTTCCTTTTTGTAGCCAGAGTCTTCTTGCCGAGCACATCTTGTAGCATGTCATTGATACTAGAGATCAAGCCGAGCATATAGACCTTGAGAAAGGCACCCAAATCTTGCGCAGGAGGCGGACGGCCCTTTCCCGATACCAAAGCCCGTTCAACCTTCCTCAACGCTTGCACTGCCTACGAATAACAATAAGTATGGGCAAAGCAGGGTAATTCCATCACTCACTGCCTCTGAAACTTGTTCATTTTCGTCACCCATAACCACAACTAACTCCGCAAGTAGGGAAACTATACAGCTCTTCACGACACTAAAAAGATCAATTGCTGAGCCTTGCGTGGCTTCCGATAAAATCTTGAGGACAAAGTTCAAGCCTTTTGTTGTCTGAGCTTGGTTCGGATTGAGAAATATGTGAGCGAGGATTCCATGGCAATGTTTAATGAGCAACGTGGAGGGTTTTGTGCCTAATTCTCGAGCAATTGTTTCCACTCCTCTCCGGTCAGCTTTAGCATATAGCTCAGGGAGAGTATGAGAAAGCGTTAGGTTAATGAAGTCGGCGGGGGTAACAGACATGAGGCGACAAAACTCGCTAAATTGACTGGGTTGACTCAAAAGTCGCGTGACAATGAACGGAGCAATCTGATCAAAGTAAGGATGCAAGAGAGCGTACGGACTCTGCTTTTTTTGTCTAGAGATTGTTGTGATCTGGTCTATCCATCAATCGTAGCCATAAAACCTAGATGTTGCTCACCTGAAGACAAGCCAATCCCCTGACGACAGGGTTTGGTTGTGCAAATTGGGAAATGAGCAGACAAAGGATTTGACCCAAAACTTCTACATTTTGCGTCCTGCGAAATATTTCAGAAACCTGGTAGGTGGCACTAGGAGGCAACGTACTGTCCCATCGACCCGACCGCCACGAGAAGGGTTTCTCGGACGGTATTCTTGGCTTGTTCCATTTGTCGATACAATCGAGCGAAAATTGACTCAGATGTTTTCCATCCCTCGCTTCCGCTGGCCGCGTGAAGTTGGACTATATCACTCAATGCGTAACTGTTGCAAATGTCAGAGAAACTCCAATACCAGGTTGAGAGAATACTCACCCAGCACTCAGTCGAACGCTTCGGTCGGTATCAACTATCCCTCTAAAAATGGTATTCATGATATCTTCCAATCTTTCGCTTCCGGCGTGATGTTGTATTATGGGGCGAAAAGCGCTGAAAACGGATCGACGGACGCTAGATGTAACCTCCGCTTCAGGTCCATCAAGTAAATGTACAATGACAGGAAGATAGAAAGACAAGATTGCACTAGGATGCTCTGCTGCGTGAGAGATGCATGCGGACCCATCACACTGTGCAAGCAGGCATGGTAATTTCGCTATCTTCACAGCTAATGACAAACGTTCCGTAGACGAGGAGCCCAGAAGAGGTCTGAAAAACAATAAGCACCTTCCAAGCCCACAAGTGATGGACGAACCTCTCAAATCTGTCCTGCAAGTCGTCCAGGGCGCGTGTCACGAACTTGTTCTCGTCCGCGCCTGTGTCATCGTCCATCCACGAAATGATATCAGGATGAACAAGGTCTTGCAGGAGGGATTGAACCCGACGTTTCCAAGCTGGGTCTCCAGGTAAGGACGAACAAACACCGCGCACGATGTCGACAGGAAGCTGCGGCTTTCCTAGTTCCAGAAGCAAGCGATCCCTTTCTGAACTTTGCGGAAAGTTTGGGAGAGCTTCTTTCATCATTTTGATGGTCTCTTGATCTGCTCGAGATATACAGCTGTGAAGGTATGAGGCTGCCAAGGCCTGTGAAAAAGCATCAAATTCCAGTCTAAGGATGAGAAAAGGGTAGAGCTACAACCCCCAGCTGTTTGTTTGTTGAATCCCATTGCCCAACGCTAAGGAGTTGAAGGGATTTGTAAACTCTCGCTCTCGAAGGAATGGTCACTTGTTTGTCATAGAACTTTGTGAGCGCTGGATCGATGACGCTCCCTTCCAAACTAAGGGCGCCATCCAAGCGAAGTTGTACCAACTGGCCTGGCAAATCTCCAAAAATCCTTCCATTGCCAGGTAAAGTGCTCAGCTGAACCAGCGAGATGATCCTGACAAGGGCCTTAGCTCGTCTTAAAGATGTGGTGGCGCATTGCGGGGTCAAGCAATGGTTGAACAGGGTTTGAGCGGTTTCGACGATTTTCCGAGCTAGGTCGGCAACGAACCAATGGCAAAGAGGGCTGGGGAAGATAGCATTCACCAGGATCTCGAGGGTCAGACTCAGAAATACAGGAACGTGGGAGATAGCATGGACAGTTATGCCCAATGGGTTGATCTGAGCAGTATTCAAGATGAAGGGAAATGATATTCACAAAATAGAAACACGTACTGGTTCCAGTGGGTCAGTGGACTTGATTTCCAGATGACGGGGATTATTGAACAAAATCAGCGTTACAGGAAATGTAAGTGCGAGTGGATGAGAAATGAGGTCTATGTTCAGTGTGAGCTTAAGTCCAACAAAAGCGATTGACTACCTTCAACATACCACGACACATTTCAACACCCTCGGTGAGAATACATCGGAGTGTCTTCCAGCAAGCCTCGGTAGTTTCTGAGGCCCTGAGATTCAAATTGGCACCGCCAAGTCCACGAAGAACCATAACAATGATATTGAAAGTCTTATCTTTCATATGTTGCGGCGTAAATACACCTTCATCTGGTGACAGATCCCGCTCAACCCAAAGATCCAAAACCTGGCATAAATCCAACAGTCTCGCAAAGAGTTTCTTCACAAGATCGTCAGAGCCATAGTAGATTCCGTCAACGCGCTGAAATACGCGTTGCATAACTTCCAACGTGGCCTCGACTATCGTGACCTTCTCTTGCATCGTGTTCCAAGGAACATGATCTGGCAAAGGGAATGACGCGAGGAATGTCTCCGCCAAGCTAACGACGATTGCCGTCCATGTTTGCGTATTGGAAGCGTCAATATGAGACGTCGCGTCTCCGTCTAAATACTGAGATATCAGGCTCCACAGAAACTCCAAAAACTGAGCTGGAGACGCGTCGAAATTCGAGCCATTGAAAGAGGGAACAGGAAAGGGCGTCGGTGCTGGCGCAACGTTCATAGAGCCTTAACCATGAGAAATTCCGTGTATCTTGGGTACCCGTTTGCAATCTGTTGCCTTCAGTAGATGCCCGGTTGATACAGGGAAGGTTTGGTGTAGCCAGTCGCGGAAAAGGGCGCAGGATGTTGGTGGTGGAAATCAAATATTTGATTAATTAATTAAATTTGCAAATTAATACTTTCCAGTTTATTGCAGTGACGATGGTATTTCACAAAAATCGCTTCTACTTCCTCCCCGCCCTCCGTTTTTCTTTCGATTTCTCTCTCTCCATAGCTTTCTCCTCTGCACGCTCTCCCTCAATAGACCCAAACACCCGCTTCATGCGCTCATTATAAGCTCGGTCCTTCTCAATCTGCTTCTTCTGTTCCACGCCCGCCAAGAACCTCGCGTCCTTCCGGAGCTCCCTAATAGCACCCTTCCTCTCCTGCTTGTATTGATTACGCAATTTCGCTGCCTCGTTCTTCTCATGGTCAGGATCTTGGCGACGAAGGTAATTCGATGAAGTTGTTTCAAACTTGGGAATGTACGTGGGAATCGGAATGGGTTTGTGGGCTTGAAGGCGTAGAGGTTGTCGTGCTTGACGAGAGAACTTGAGTAGGCGTTGTAGGGAGTCCGTCAGCTTGGCCAGTTGAACCTAAGCCATAGGTTGAGTAACAAACAGTGAAACAATACAAGTATCTACCCTGAGGCCCTCAATGAGGTTGTCAGCATCAACATTCTGCAGAATCACCAGTATAGGCTCGTAGAGTTCAATAAAGGCATCAATCCCCTTGTACAGCTCCGCGAACCGCCCCAACAACTCGAAAGCGAGTCCAAGAAGATCGGTCTTTGCTTGCTCGCTCGCCTGCGATATCGAAAGTAAACTTGTTAAATTGGGCTTTTGAATAACAGGTGCCTTCTTGCCATTCAACTTAAGCATCAAACGCCGACATGATTCTGAACGAAAATCGGGAGAAGGGAAAGAACCAGGAAGGGATGGAATATCTTTGTAATGATGAGGTGCCAAATGCAAGACGGTGTTAACCAAAAAATTGCCGGCTTCTGGTACAAGCCGTTTTGATAGGGCCTCGAATTGGAGGAACAAAGAGCACAAGAATAGGCCACTAGCAATGTCTGAAAGTGACCTGACCCGACCGAGACCAAGATATGCACCGATGAGCACACGAGTCGGCGAGATAACCGCGTGATTAAGATCGCTCGTTGGCCATACGAGTCCAATAATCCGCAGCAATGAAAGTTCCGGCAGTTTAGGCCAAGTTTTGGAATCCGGCATCAAGGCCCCTCTGGAAAGACCACGCTTCAAATTTTTGTGCATCAGGGTGAGCTTTTCATTAAAGCACTCTGCTGCAGGGATGGGGTAGGCGCGGGTAATCGCGATGAGATGCGGGAGGAGGGCCGATACCAAGGTGAAAGAAGGTTCTGATAGAGATGTGATGTAGAGTATGTGATCGATGAGAACAGCACCCAAAGTCTATTGCGTTGTGAGATAATTAGAGAAAAGGGAGGCTGATGGCTCACTTGTAGTTTGAACTTGTTTTCAGGAGCCAAACTTGTGTGATACAACGTTCGTATACGCTGCACGATCGTAGGCACGTCCGCATCGGCGACGCCATCCACGATCTTTAGGAACTCTTCGTGTGTTGAGGGACAAGGGAAAGTAAACGGCAACTCCACACTTGAAAGTTGTCGTGCTTTCGATTCTCCCTTTGCTGAAGACGCCACGGAAACAAGATTTTCATGTTCGCCTTGTTCTTCCTCAGAATCATCCGCCGAACCTTCTTCCTCGTCTTCCTCCCCTCCGGAGCTTTCCCCTTCGTCATCCTGACCTTCATCTTCCTCCTGCTCAGCCTCCAGAGTATCACCCCCTTCAAGGCCCGCACCCAAACCACCCAATTCGGCGTCTTCATCATAAAAATCATCTTCCAAGTCATCTGCTCCCCGTTTCCGCTTCCCCTTTCCCTTTCCCTTTCCCTCGTCATCGCTCTCCTCCTCAAGGCCCAGCATACGACGTCGTCGAGCCCTTTCCGCCTTCTCCAAAGACTCTTTTTCCTCCAACGCTAACTCCTCTTCCGTCTTCGTTCTATCCTTCGGCTTCGCTCGCTTGTCAAATGCAAGCTCACGGACATGCTGGTCGTAATCATCATCTTGAGCCTCCGGAGCAAGAACCTTTAGCGTTTCGTTGACATCCGAGGGCGGTTTGGCTGAGGGCTCTGCACGAGTGCCGAGTGGAACGAGATTGCTTCCAGATGAAGTCGAAGGGTCTGGAGCGTAGATTAGATCGCGCAGAGCCGCAAAATTATTGTCCAATTCGTGACGAACGTCTTCCCCTGCCTGCTTTTCCATTTGACGTCGCAACTATTGATGAATAAAAACAGTGAATGAGTTTGGAAGGACGCTAAATCAAAGACGGACCTTGTGCTCCTTGCTTTTCGCAATGACCTCTGCCATTACCTCTGCTTTGGACTTTTTTCTTTCAGGCTACAAGTTACTTGTTAGTTCGTACACTCACTAGAGATGCGATAGAAATACGCCTACTTCTCCGTCGCTATCCTCCTCGTCACTGAATCCTCCAAAGTGGGTTTTAGTGACAGTCTCTCTGTCAATCTGGCCTGGAAAGAATTGAATGCGTAAATGATTCAAGAAAACTCGATACATACCCAAACCCTTCTCCTCGTCGCTATCCGAACCAAGTCCAACATTATCAAAGTCGTCCATTTTTGAGAGGCTCTGGCCGTAATGGGTGAGTTCTTCCTCATCTTCAAGATTGAAGGCTGCCCCTTTCGATGCTCGTTGCCGCTCCTTCGTAAATCGTTCCAGCATCCTCTCCTCAATGCTCATCGTGGGGTCGTTTTCACCAAAACGTCGATCAATAATGCCACCAGCTCGATCCTTCTCTTCGTATTCTTTCAAGAGCGTCTTCTTGCGCTGCAAGATTTAAAGTGAGCCAAAACATTGTGTTCAAACCAATTAACGCGAACCTGTTCAATTCCCGCCTGTTTACTCTTAGCAGGCTTTCCCGTAATGCCTTTGAGCCTCCTTCCACCGACATCATGCTTCAATTTCGTGACCTTGGTATCAAAAGGATTCAGCCGTTGTTTGATCTCCTCAAGTTTCGCAGCCTTCTTCTCCTTGTCCTTTTCGAGGGGTGTTGACCGTTTTCGCTTCTTCCCTGACTGATTTTGACCTGTAAGACCTGCCTGGGCCAAGGCTGTTTTTAATTGTGAAAGCTGAGATCCATTGGCCATCGTCAGTTGCGGTCCAGTCGAAAAAAATGTGACAAGCCTCAAGATGTGACGTCGGTATGGGATCACGTGCCACGTTCTTCTTTCATCCGTCCTTGAGCGCTCCATGCGTGTCGAACGCCCCCGCAGCCATCCAAACGAACAACCATATGTCAATGACGCCGTCTACGACATCCAAGATCCGGGGTAAAGTAACCAGGTTTACGGCTGCAGGTTACATTGACAGCACCCGCGTGACCGTGGTACTCGGAGCCAACTCGGGGCTTGGATTTTCTTGGAGTCGATGTTGGCTTTTGGGATCTCCACGGGGAGTCAGCGTGGAGAGCCTGTGGAGAGATTATTTTGCATTGGAATGTAGATCGAAATTGAGCTGAGAAACCATATTTGTGCCCACTTGATCGTCAGCCCAATTGTTGTCATTTGATTTCGCAAAATTCGTGCTGTCTTCTCATAAGAGATGGCCTATTATTCTACTACTTACCCCCATTCTTTCATGGCACACACACCCGCCGACACTAATGCTATAGCATTCCCAACCACACGGTCTACTCGCCACAGCCTTTCCGAGATGTCCATGGTGTCTACTCGTGCCACCGCCCTGGATGTCTGCTATTCTGTCTATGGGGAAACGGGGATGTCAGCAGATGCTGTTGATCGCTTCTATGAGGCCAACGCCAGTGAGTATTGTCCTTCTATCTCTCATAATCATCATATCTGACATTGGTTCAAGCGTAAGTCAGTCAACTGACTCTAACACATACCCTGATCATCCCCGCAGTTATGAGAATCCATTTGTTACCGCCACCTCACGCTCGGTCATAGGCGATATCCATAGACTTTCGCGTCAGTTAAGCTCAGTTGACGTCCCCCGCCCACTTGCAGTGCTTTGCACTCTTTTTCGTATACGGCCTTCAAATCATGGTTTTCTAGGCCAGTATTCGAATGAAGCTCTGTTCCAAGCTTTGCGCGTTTGGACAGATGTTGGAGACATCTGCGAGAACGAAAGTTTTGGTGGGTGTCAATGGCGATGCGGCCGCGATCTAGCACACTTACCACACCGTGAAATTTAGATGGGCACCGTAAAGTGATCGTGGAGCATACCCTCAACGTTCTACTTCTACCAGGGATCCATTGTGAAGGTCCCATCTCTCACGCCCATTCCTCTGTCGATTCCCTCGTAAATCTCAACGGTTCCCCACTTTTTCATTCCCAATCCCTACCCTTCATCTCACCTTCCCTTCCTATACCCGGAACTTCGTTATCTGTTCCCTCCCCTCTGCATTATAAGCTCCGCATAATAACCCGCCTGTCTTTCAACGAACAAGGCCTGGTCACCCATCACCGTGACATTTGGGACGTCAAAGACGTTATGGGTCTTTTGCCAGGCGTTTCATTGGCGCAATGGGTTGGAACCAGACTCGCCGCTGCGGGACTATCATACGCCGCTAAACTTCTACCCAAGAGTAAATCTCGGAGCTATGCCGGTCTTTCCACCGAACAAACCTACTCCCCTGCTGCGGTGGACTTGGAATATGGAATGGCCCAGACACCTCCCTTATAGCGCAACGCCTACGAGGAGCACCCTTGGCGTTGAAGGAATCTGAACAGGCTTCGGATTCAATCCACCGTCCGGAATTCAAACACAGTGACTTAGCAATCTGCGACGCCGCCGCCCCTCTCGGCGAAAAGTCGGCTCACCTGTCAATAGCACTGTTTGTCGGCGCTTTGGTCGTTGTACAAGGTGACGGGAAGTTGGCCCTACGGCTGAACGCATGATCGGCTGGATAACCTCTAACAACCTGAACAGGTTCACATCGTAATCCCTCTGACTACTCGGGCCATTTTCTCGGAGCGCTTTAGCGCGCGTTGGCAGAAGAAGCCTAATCATGGGGTATTGTTGGCGGCGAAGCTGTGTATTAGAGGGGATTTGTTTGTAGATTCGATACTCTACCGATACCAAGTTTAATTTTTCTGGTGGCAAGCCATTAGATGGGGCCTACGTATTGTAGTTAGAACATATCTCTAAGCTTCGATTAGCGGTCGGTAAATGAACATGCCTGGTGGATCCCTTTGTTGGCTTCATTAGTCCATGTATTTACATAGATAAAGGGTTGCTACTCGCCCACAATCTGCTCCAATCGCAAGGACTCGAAGTACCATATAAGTGACGTGCAGGACATGACACGTTTCGTTCTTTTTCCCATATCTGGACGTACATTGCATCCGCCACCTCCTCAGAGCATGAGTATTTCCGCCACCATTATATACTTACTGCTTAGTGGCCTCCTCGGACGACTTATGAACTCGAAAAGCCTTGCGCCGTGCACCACTTCAGTAGGGGTAGGAGGCTAGAGTGGATCAACTGGCGCCCCAGATCAGTTCTATGTAGATAAACGCGCGTTGCTGGATCTCAAGAACTCTGCGTGTATCTTCGGTTCCTCCTCCTTTCATAATCCCAGATTCGAAGATCGGTGCCTTGCAAGGAGGTATGACGAGGCCGCGGAATCAGTACGAAGGTCGTCATTGTGCTCGAGTGGGCATTTGGTGGACATATTGCGTTACATTGGTACGTCCTGGGACCAAAGGTGTTGAATTCGTAATCGGCTGAAATGCCCACCTCACCCCATCCAGTTCAATTCTTGTGGTTTTACTAAAAACTTCCATAAGCTAGGTACACAAAAAAAAGAAGAAGGGTCACTTGAGATTTGACAAACTTGACCGTCGAAAGCCGTCGAACCCCCATCGCGGCTGGCAGGCGCCACAAATCCTCCACTTTTCAGCTTAACAACCTGGCTACGTTTACATGCAAGTCAGGCTCGGAATGTCGAAACACAGTTTTTTTCAGCACCCCGACAGTTCGCAGATCCTTCGATTTTTTTTCATCGGCTTTCTGTCGGCTTCTCCCCGTTACGCCCCGTGCTGCTTTTCCTCCATGTATTTACCGATACTGGGCGCCTGACCACAGCTGGTTAACCTACATGTTCGTCACGATTCACCGGTAAATCTACCGCCTGTAAGCAGCTCGTGAAGAAGAAGCTCTTTGGACAATGGACATGGCAAATTCAGACGGTGAGCCCTCCTCCGGTTCTTCTGGCGTTTTTGACAGTTCGCACTAGTAAGAATAGCACTCGTATGCGCCATAAATGACACTACAGATGTTACATAAAGCTGAGGTGAGATCCTCAGGTCCTATTACACGCGCAGGAACTCATTTCGTTTGAGCTTCGATTATCATTACATGTACGAACCCAGTCCTTCGCAGCCTTATGAGATAGGGAACGAGATTCAGATGAAGGTTGCAAGCCTTGCAATTACTTCTCCCACTCCGAATCCTTAATGCATCTGTAAAGCATCTCAAACGTTACGGCAAGTCCCCACTGTCCCCATACGCTCTCCTTGCCTTCTTCCGGTAAGCTCGGGAAAAGCTCCAAGACTCTCACCGGAAAGTATCAACAGAGCTCCTATCTCTACGCGCTCGAACCTCACATTCCCTCTGAGGTATGACTTCTGGACTGACGGCGCAAATTTGAGCCTCCTCAGAGTCTGGTTTCTGACTTCTACCTTTCATGATTCATCCTAGGCATACCGGTCATTCGTCAATCCAAAAATTCAGCGCTCCATTCAGCTCCCACATGATCCTGTTCATTCAAAACTGAAACGGTTCCTCAAACCGTAAACGCACCCGCTTTGCATGAGATTACTCTGATCTGCGATTTCGGTGAAAGGCGGCAATACATCCGTAGATTCCCAGCACTTAACGAGGATAGCCCAGAAATGGCAGAAAGCGAAGCCTGGTAAAATTCGGTCAATTTGTAACCTGTCGAGCCGTTGCAAAGCCTACGGTTGGCGAGCAGGGTCAGGTCTGTTTGAAGCCTGATAGAGCCTGATCCGAAAAAATTTGACAGGAGCCTGGGGTCCTTGTCACCGCTTCCAACGTATTCACAATGAATATATGTACCATATGTGTCACACTTTTCAGGTAGCATTAGTATGTAGCAGTAAAGCGTAAGTAATCCCTAGAAATATAATATGTGCAAGAAAATGTACAATGCCGTAGCAACACAAGCAGCAGGCCTAGGTGGAAAGTACGCATGGATGAACGCAGCAAACGCAGCAGCTGCCAACGGTATGCCTAAACCCAAGCCTGCCCCCGCTGCTCCCATCATCCCTTCCCCAGCAGCAGTAGCCTCCGCTAGTCCTGTAGCTCCCACCACTGCGTCACCTGAAACCACTACGGCTCCAGCTGCTGGTGTTCCTAGTACGACGGGGAGTTCGCAGTGGCCACGGCCGTATGTCCCGACGAAGAAAGCGGATGCTACGTCGACGCCTGTGGAGGAAGACACGTGGACGCTGGTGACGATACGCGGTGCGATGTTCGTGGTGGAGAGGGAGAGATGGCATGGCGGTGGGCAGCTAGGGCTTGAGTAGAGCTTATAGGCCACATTTCTCGTTTTCAGCTGTTTCATCGTCAACATCCATAGTCCATGCGTTGAATGGCGGAAACTCACGAATACCCAAAGCACCACCCCCAACGATGAGTGCACTTGGCGCCTCTTCGACTATCCTCTGTTTCTCCTGCATCCATTCAGTCATCGGGTGTAGGATTTTGATCTTCCACGCTCGTTGGCGCTGGTTCGTCTTCCTCTTCATGCTCGAACTCTTCGTCCGAGTCGACGGTAGCCTGAGCTGCTCTTTGTATGGCGGCTCTGGAAGAGAATCAGTAACAGCATGTGCGTGGTAACGAGAACTCACTTTTCTCTCAAGTGCTTCCTTCACGACGCTCCATACTCACGTATCAGCTTGAGTAGGAATTTCGGACCGACGTCTTTGATAGGCTCGAGGTAGTCGCATCCAAGGGGGATACATAGGTCAAACAACTTGGAATGATGGTTAGCGTACGGAGGAAAACGAAGAGAAAGGCAGCTAATTAACTCATGTTCATGTCAGGCACTTCAAGGGCCTCCTTAGGGTTCATCTCGCTGATAGGCTGCTTCTTCGCCTCTGAGTTACATGTCGGAACAAGATGCCAGTGGGCGCGTTGAAGGTGAGCGTGTCCATGTCATCGGAGCCTAGTGTACATCTGGATTGCGTAATAAATTGTTTAAGTATATTAAAAAGAATTATATTATTATTAATTGTGACGATGAACGTCACAGCCTTCAATACATGGACCCCAGAGATAAAAATATCACTTCTTAGTTGCTTCTTATAACTTCTGGACGTCAAAACAGACCTGGCCCTGCTCGCCAACCGTATGGTCCTAACCCGCAAGTCCTAGTACCTTCTCGCGTTGAACACAGCGAGGAAAAGCAACGGAAAATGCAAGGCTGCCAGTTCGTGGATGTGCTCCAACAACGGGTACTAGGTTTGTCTCTTGTTTGTCTCCGTGAGAAAGATCAAAACACCACTTCCATGTGGAAGCGCAAAACATGTATTTCAGAAAAAACATAAGGAGATACAGAAATTAATAAAATATGTCGACGTGGACGGCACGGCAAATTCACCAGGATCCCCACATGAGAAATGTGAATCCTGGCGCACCGTACATATGCGAACACCGAAAACTACTGCTCGCAGCGCTCAGCGATGTCCGGGAATAAATCGTTTATATTAAAAAGAACTATATTAATTGTGACGATGAATGTCACAGCCTTCGATACATGGACCCCAGAGATAAAAATATCGCTTCTTATAACTTCTGGACGTCAAAACAGACCTGGCCCTGCTCGCCAACCGTAAAAGCCGCCGTTGCTTGCGCGGTGTCACGAAAACCAAACAACGTTTTTGAAATACGCGTCACTCAAAAAGGCAGGTCGGGTCAAGGACTTTGGTAAGTGATGCGCAGGGATAGATAGGTATTCAACTTATTCAGCCTAGCGCAAGGTTTGTTCGAGAATCCTAGCCGTCGCCACGCTTGAGATTGTAGGATTCCATTTGTAGCTCAGAAGTCCATTCATCGAGTATCTTTCAGCGTCAGTCAAGAAAGAGATATCAGTTGCTATCTAATTATTATATAAAACAGGATCCACAACTGAGATGGCATCTGGCGTGCACTGACGGATTATTGATACTTGAACGATTGGTGCACACCATCGACTTTGACCTTCAAGCTCATGGCAGCGTTTCACGTTGAAAGATGGCACTTCGGGCATCCTCCGTGGCGATAGCATTCCTTGCCAAAGAAGTCGGCCTGCCTTCAAAGCGTGCGCCCCATGAAGATGCGCCGATTGGCTTTGCTACGTGCATACGTGAACACCATTAATTATTTTAATCGACCTGTGGCGAGGCCTGTACGTGGAGGGGTTACTTATACGGCGGAAAGGCACGCCGTAGTCACGTCGGGGGTTGCCAAGCGGTCTGCTTTCAAGAATGATCCCACAGAAAGAGTCCTTGCAACAGCTGGCCTGGCGCAATGTATGTTCCCAAATCCGATCTCCGTTGAGCATTTGGACCTCTTTTCAGTGGAACGTTCTTTGTCAACTACTTTCGCCCCTGCGCCAGCTGTTTGGACGCGTCGCGGAGTCCTGACCAGGTAACTCCCAAGGCGTGCCTCGTAAGCCGCAGCGCCGGCCCCCACAATGAAGGCTGTACACGAAGTCCAGCGAACGGCATAAATAAACACTTCTTTATGCATTTTTATGGCTCCGAGCGCGACATGTAGCAAATCGGGCTCACCAACGAAGATAAGATCTCAATGTTATGCCGTGTTTGCACCCACCTTTGATGAGCGAAATGAATAAGCGGCACCCTCAGACCTCCACCATTACCGCAACTGGGCCTATTGACAGGCATTCACCCAAAAGTCGAAGCACATGAAAGCGGAGTAAAGCCGTGAGTGGTTGTGACAGCTGTGGTTCCATTCCATTTCTTATGCCAGTGACTCACCATCGTAGTTTCGATTTACGCATGTAGTACGCTCAAGCCACGATGACGCCTGAACCCTGCGAGCTTGCGAATTTTACGACATCTAGAATGGTAATCGAAACGAAACAAAGAAAAAGCGAGAGCGACGGGAGACGACGACGACGTTCGTCAGCTGGTGGTGTTCACTAAAGTAAGTAACTCCATATGATTCCCTTTCAATTGTCTACTTATTGTCAGTTGAAGAAATGGAATGCGCACTTCGTTACAATGCGGGAACAAGATGCGGGAACAAGAACGTTGTTGCAGGGATTTCGAAACAAGGGAACGTTCTACAAGAAGTACAAGCTAAGGACTTGCTTGAAGAATGATGTTTCCCTCTTCTTATGCGGTTTCTTTTGTTACAAAACTTACTTACAAATTGACAGCCATCTACATCTCGACCATGTACCGATTAAGGATCGTCGGGGGAAGCTTCTGCAGCCGTCCCTTTCCGTGCAATCATTTCCACGCAGACGCGTCATGCCAGTCGTCCGGACTATCATTTTACCAAACGAGATCCCAGCACGCGTATTAAATCTACATACAACGGAGGCTAATATATACCTCGATCAGCCTCGCAATTATACCTCCGCCCAACGCGCTTCGAAACGCACGCGACCCAACGTGCGCTAGTGCACGCATGAGCCACTCAGTACATATGGCGTGATAATCGAGGGCAAGACCCGCGCCCGACGTACGGCACAACTAACGCCGACCTTTTTACCTTCTTCTTTCATCCTTTCTGGAAAAGCAACTTGCAGGTAGATCCCTTGACGCCATGCGGTCCCGCGACGAGTAGGCGGTCCCAGCCATTCCTTTTATATTCAAAGTAAATTGAAATAAGCCGCTTGACCTCTTGAGTTAGGGTTCCACCATCGTGGGATCGGATGCCCACGAGAGGTGTTGAACCCTTAGCGCCCTTTGTTTTTCTTCTTTTTTCCCTTTTTCTTCTTTCCACAGTCCGCGAGTCCTTTTTTCTTTTGTGTGACAGTGTGCGCCCTCTTTTCTCCCCCTCCCTTCCTCCCTTCCTTGTAATCAAAAGGTCCGGGTCGAAACCTCCGAGCAGCCTTGATATGTAAGTAGGTGCACTTGTACCACATTCGTATACGTAAATGGCACATGAGCCTCGTAACTTGCAGCTTGCTTGACTCCATAAGAATTTATGGAGACAAGCAATGTGTCAATTAGCTTCCCGACATTAAGCCGTGTGTAATTCCGCAGTATCCACTATTCATAGTATACGCCGGGGGACAAGCATACAACACAAATTAGTAGTGTGCTATGTAAGTGTTCTTTTCTAAGAGTCAGAGTCAGACGGCATGACCCAATTCCAGGAACCGGACGCAGGGTGTTTCCTTTTATTAGAACAACTTTTTTCTTCTTGTAAAACAAGGGATTTCACACCCTGCCCACACCCCCACACCCACCCTTTTCCCAAGTAACTTCACCCTCCGAGTCGCTCTCACCTTTCAAATTTTCTTCTGGGGAAATTTTTATCCGCCCACGAAACAACAACAACAACAACAACAAAAAACAAAGAAGTGTACTTACCCGCCGGGGACACAAGGTCTGGACTAGTTCGAACGAAAACAAAGTAAGCGCCGAGGGAGGGTATTTCGTTCTAGTACATTTTGAATTATGCTAGGGGCCAGAAATGTAAAAGTATCCTTTGCCTGGTGCACTACAATACAAAAACAACCTTCGCAAGGCGCTCCGAATAGGAGCCAAGCAAGTCCGCCCGAGCTCCACGCATCCAGTCGGGTGGTGGGTGGGAGGGCGCCAGGAATAGATCATAAAATTATAAATCCACGGGGGTAATAAATATATTGGGTGTGGGTGGTATTCAGAATTATCGTATGGATGGGGATTCGATGCAGGGACTACTACTAGTGAGTAAAAGCGCACAAAAAAAGGAGCGGGTTGGAGAAAGTCGAAATGTTAGATAGATACCACAAGTCTACTATGTAATGGTAAATATTGAAGCTGATATTAGTACAACATGCTCTCGCCCTCGCCTCCCGGATAATAAATAGGTAAGGAAGCAAGGGGAGGGAACAAAAAAAAATGCGGCAAGAAGAGGATATCCGGTGTAAAAAAGGAAGGGAAGGGGGGCAAAGGAGGGTAGTAGTCCGTTTAACGGTGTGTGTGGAGATCCAAACATGGGGTAGAAACGGACAAGTGCGCGCAAGCCAAGATAGAGAGAGACGCAGAGACATGATAGGTAGATACAATCTTGTTGGTTGTTGGTGGGGATGGTACAGCATTGACTTTTGTGGGCGAATAAATAAGATAGCTGCATCGTCGAGAGAGAGAGAGAGATTTTGAGGATTCAATAAATAAATAAGGTGCTTCCGGAGAGGCTAATAAGTAGAGATTGGACGCGACACTGGAAGGGCCTCCTCCTTTACGAAGCGACGGGGGTCGGAACGGGGCTTGCCACGAGTCCCGACACGTTCCCGATCGCCTCCGCCCACGCTGCAGCAGCCTCCACCCCTGACACTGCTGCTTGCCCAACCGACTCTCGAGAAAAGTAGTCCTGCTGCGGGGTCGCAGCAGCCAGGTTCGGGGAAAAGTATGGGGGGGATGTATGTGACTTGCGAGGAGTTGCGGTCGGCAAAGAGGGCGTGTGTTGAGTTTGTTGATGTAGAGATGCGACATCCGACAGCGGCGCATTGGGAAGTCTGATGCCACCATCCCGCGGAGGAGACTGAGAGTCACGCGAGAGCGGGAATGTCCCCAGGTTTGGGGAGTTGTAGGATGTTGGTGGAGCAGAGCCTGACGAATAGACGGAAACTGAGGCAAGGAAGGGACGAGGGGGGAGGCCAAGTTAGCAGACTAAGACTTGAGGAGAGGTGGTCTTGGACAACACACCATTATCGTCCCAATCGCTAGCGCCGCTGCCCGAGTGGACAGAGGACGTGGAGGATACTGAACTGCGACGTACGAGGCCGTACTCGCGTGGTTCCTTCTTCACCATGGCGGTCCGTTGTTTGGGGCTAACGGTGCCTTTGCTCTGCTTCCGCGCCTTGTTTCCAGCTCGCAGTTCGTCAAAGCGCAGAGGGCGCGGTCGCAAGTGCGTTCGTTCGTAAAGACCGCACTTGTTGCAGACGATTTTCCCAGGATTGAGAGTAGATCGACGCCACGAGGGTGGTTCGGTAGTGTGGCAATTGAAACATCGACGGCGAAGGTACTGGGTCTCCTTTGAAGCAGCATCGTCGGTGTGTTGAACGGGGAGTCCCGTATGCGGCGAAAGGTAGGACATGGCCATTGGGTGGCACTGGGAAGAAGAGGAAGGGGGTCTGTAAAAATTCATTTGCGATGGGACCATGTGGGGAGTGTTGTCTTCTAATTTTATGCGAGTCTCGTCAAACTCGTGGTAGGATGAGTGCGGAGAGGAGGTGATAAAGGGCTCCCCATGCAGCTGAGTGGATTCTGAGGGGAGAGAGAGTTCGTAGAGCGAATCTTGACGAGGGGGATATGGATGGAGAAGGGCGGAATGGTTATGATGATCCTGACGGTGCTGCATAAAGGGGGGATAAGCCTGACCACCCTCGTCACGGTCATGCCGCACATAAGGGAAAGTGGCTCTGCGCATCATGTGGTAATCAGTAGGGCGTGAAGACTGGTGCTGCAACTGAGGCCAGTTTTCGGCTGGCTGAAAATCTGGAGGGTGTTGTTGTTGCTGCTGCTGTTGCTGCTGTTGGTGGTGGTCAATGTCATGGTCATAAAGCTCTGAGAGGAGAGAGCCACGGTCGTTGCTGAAAGCATAAGGATTTGGGGCGGAAGAGAGGGGAGGCCAGTAGGATGTATCCAAAGAATGGGCACGAAGTTCAGGGGCCACACCGTTGCCGTCGTCGTCGGGAAAACCATTGCGGACGGCGTCAGTGTCGAGGACGTGCTTATAAGAGTTGGGCAGAAAGTGCATGTCGTCTGGGGAAGGAGTGCGAGGAGTGGAAGAATCAGAGTAAGAAGTATAACCGTCGAAATTGGACGAGTCCATGACTTGTGGGCAACAGAAGAAAACTAGAGTCAAACTAGGACGCCCTTGGTTTTCAATTGGTTTTCAACTACGCGAACAACTCCTGTTTTGGCTATCAGATCCAATCTACTCAAGTCACACACGTTACACTACTGTCACTCTTCCTCCCTGACGGGGTTACGTCGGGCCCCTGGACACCCCTGCCCCCCTTGCCACAGCAACGTCCCACTCTTCTGGGTCATCGGACTTGGCCCCAGAACACCGCTCAATCCTAGCCTGCTCATCCTCACCGCTTCTGGTTTACATTCGGGTTTCAAGGATCATCATCTTTGCGATACACTACTTACGGGTCATCACATATATAGAAAGACCTCAAAAATTCATACAA